ACTGATCCTGCTGCGCACAGGTGGTCTAATCTCTTTTTTAGAGGGGCGGCGGGGGCGTGTCGATGTCAGAAGCCCATGCTCCCCCCCCCCCCAGCGGTTCTTAAAACTCTGTGTGTCTGTTTCAAATAAGGTCGGGATGAAAACAGAAGAAGGTGGAGGAACCGGAGGAAAAGCACCATTCACAAGCACCATGGCTGTAGGCGCCCCTGCCCCTGGGGTCCTCCTCACTGAAGAAGAAACCCCGGGGGGGGGCTATTGCTACAACCCCCACCCCACTTGTGGCATGTCTGGGCACACCTGGAAAAGCATCCCCCCCCTCCCAGCACCAGAAATGCTGGGGGGGGGAGTCAAGAGGACCACTCACTTTGTCTCCTGCTCATGGCTGGACCTGCGGGAAGGAGAAAGAGGAGGTCAGGAAGGCTCCCTCTAGCCCTGGGGTCTGGTGAGCAAGAATCCCACTTGGCGAGCTCCTGGCATTAAAGTGGTGAGCCAGCAGTTTGGCCGCTGCATAAATCAGTCTGCTCTGGAGCCTCATCCTTCCTGAGCCGAGACAAAAACGGGTGAGCCGGAGGCTAAAAAACTGTGAGCTGGCTCACACCAACTCCGGTTAGAGGGAACACTCGTCAGGACATACATTTCCCTGGAAGTGATGCTGCTTCACTGACTGCCAGTGGCCCCCTGTCGAAAGAGGAGGCAAGAGGGGCCTTCTTGGCCACCAGCTGGCTGCCCGAGATCGAGGGTTGCCTCTTGGTGCCTCCAGGAATTACAACTGGTCTCTGTGGCAGAGCTCATCATTTATGTACTGTGGCAGGGAACTTGGCTTCGGATTCAGGCGGGCACTGCAGCCACCAAGCCCCCCCCCCCCCCCCGTGTCATTCTGAGCCTTCTGTTCACGCTGACCCAGGCAGGCCGAGCGAGAGAAGCCGGACTAGGCCGAGGCCCCTCTGCCAGCAGCCACGTGGGCTTTGCTCCCCCACCCCCGCCCCGGGGGGGGCCCTCCTAAGTTCTGTGCCGGGCGGCCCTGAGGGATCAGCCCGTGTTCTGGCCCCTGAGTCATCACTGCCCCTTCCTCATGTCTGTGGGACCCCCCCTCCCCCTGGGGAAGTGCCCATTGGCATCTGGCGGAAGATGCCCCGGCAGAATGTCACCCCCTCTGAAGGAAGCCCAGGCCCAGGAAAGGCCGCGTGGGGACTCTGCCGGCCCCCTCCGGGGACCCCCTTTGGAAAGCCGGGAGGAGGCAAAGAAGGGGGGCTGGAAAGGCCCTCTTCGGACCACCAGAGCCCCTCCCCCCCTTTACCTGCAGCGCTGGCAGGAGAGGCAGCCCCCCATGGCGCCCCCGGGGACTGCTGTGTCTGGACCACCATCTCTGCCCTCGGCAGAGGAGGAGGAGGAGGAGGAGGAGCCGTGCCGCCGGGGGAACGGGGAGCCCGGGATTCCACAGCCGGCTGAGGTCACAGTGGCTTCCCAGAGGTCAGCACCTTCGCCCACCCCCCACCCAGTCCCAGGGCTGCTCAGCCCCACCACTGATCTCCACAGGCACTTCGGCAGTCTCTGGACCCGGCCAGTCCTCCAAAGGGCTTGGGGCTCTGGACCCGGCCCACACACACACCCCTGCCCCACATCTCAGGAGTCTTCTGGGTCAGACATTCCCTTCCTCGGCCAGCCAGAAGGGGTTGAGGCCACAGAGGTTCTGGCAGGCCGGCACGGGGGGGGGGACGGGACGGATCCTGCTCCAGCCACCAGCCGTCTCCCTTCCGGAGAGTCCTCCTGCTCCAGCCCAGCCTCCTGCTGTGCCCCGGGGGTCAACCACAGGCCCTCCTCTTCAGCCAGGGCAGGGAGGGGCCGAGGAGCCTCTGCCCCCCCCCCGGAGGTGTGCAACCAACAGGACTTGCCCCTCTGGGGATGCCACAGCAGCTCCCCCCACCACCGGGGCAGGACTGCCTGCCTGCCTGCGGCAAGCCAGAGATCTGGCCCACAGGCCAGAGATTGGAGAGCACGGGGACGACGTTGTAGAAGGCAGCTAGGCGTGCCACCGGACGCCATTTTGTTCTCCTAAAGAACGCCCCCCCCCCCGGTCAACAGGAGGCATGTTTGCTCCCAGGGTCTGAGAACAAGGGCAGCCTCACCTTGGGTGGGGTGTGGGGTAGACTGGAGACCCCTGATTCTCCTCACCGGACAACTTTGCAATGCGCAGGTGTCACAGGGCAGGCCAGAGGACAGCGCATGCAGCGGCTGAGACCCCTGGGCCAGCGCCTGTGATGGACAAATGCAACCCAAGGACCAGACATCTGCAGCCCATGGCATTTAGCACCTGTTGCGCTTGCTGGATTATTTCGCTCCTGGTACTTCTGTAATACCATTTCCTGCACTGAGTGACACATCAGGTGTGATATTCTGTGCTCTAGATTCCTGTAACTCTGGTCTTATTACATTCCTCATTGGATGTTTCCTCCTCTTGACTGCACTGATTTACACTGTGGCATGACGGTATACAGACGGGCCTGCCCCACAGATCCACAGAGGGGCTTTAGAGGATTGGTTGTTGTGTTTTCGATCCCTTTGTCTCATAATCCCCAACACCGAGTCTGCCTTTTCCACTGCTGCAGCAGCTGCAGCAGCAGACGGGGTTTCCGTTTTCATTCAGGCTCAGCAACTTCACACCCCACGAGCACACGCTTGAGGCTGGGGCAGCCAAGGTGCAAACCTTTTAACAGCCAGCAGGGCCCTCCACGTAGGCAACTGCAGCACAGTTTGGCCGTTGCTGCGACAAGATCCGTCCTGTGTTGGGGAGGGGGGGGGGACCCTGGAACCGTCTCCTCGGCCTGTGTTCATGGCCGCTCCTCCCCTGCCACCCGTTTTCTTCGTCTCTAAGGTGCTCCTGGACTCTTGCCCTTCTCTGCTGCTGCAGACGAACACGGCTCCCCCCGTCTTGAAGCGGGGGCGGGGGGGGGGTTGGGTCCCAGCCTGCATCACTTTACATTTACCTGCATTGAACTTTGCCTGCCGCACATCGCTTCCCACTCACCCAGCCTGTGGAGGCCCTCCCTCCCTCCCTCCCTCCCTCCCTCCGGGAGCTCTTCGGAGTCCGCCCTGGTTCTTCTCACCATCCTGAGTAAGTGGGCGTCATCTGCAAGCGTGGCCACGAGGCTACTCGTCCCAAGTTCCAGATCCTTTTATGAACTAATTAAGTCGCATCGGCCCCAATACCGATCGCCCCCCCCCCACTGCCAGAGCTGCCCGTTTATTCCTGCTCTTCGCTTCCTGTCCTGAGCCCAATCCGTCACCCACAAGAGCACCTGCCCTCTGCCAAAGTCCTCGCTGCACAGCCCACTTCTTCTGATAGAATGACCAGACTCATTCTACCGGAAAAACAAACACCCCAAATGTCAACCCACCTCTTTCAGCCACCGCCACTCAAAATGCCCAGAACTTGGTGGCGCAAAGGCTCTAACAGTGAGAGACTGGAATGGGGCTGATGCTTTGGGGAGGGGGAAGGTTCTTATGAAGGTAGCGGCGGCTACAAGTGGGAACTGGATAAACATATGGAGCAGAGGTCCATCACTGGCTATGAGCCACAAGGGATAGATAGCAACTCTCAGGTTGGGGCCAGGGATGCTCTGTATCCTTGGAGCTTGGGGGGGGGCAGTGGGAGGGGCTCCTAGTGTCCTGGCCCCACTGCTGGACCTCCTGAGGTCCCACTGTGTGACACAGAGTGTTGGACTGGATGGGCCATTGGCCTGATCCAACATGGGCTTCTCTCATATTCTTAAGGCTTATAGAATCACAGAATGTTAGAGTTGGAAGGGACCTTTGCACGTCATCTAGTCCAACCCCCTGCACTCTGCAGGAGCACAGCCGAGAGATAGCCCTACAACAGACCCGAAAGAGGGTCGTCCAGCCTCTGCTTGGAAACGTCCAGCGAAGGACCATTCGCCACCTCCCGAGGCAGACTGTTCCACAGCTCAACCACTCTTACAGTTAGGACATTTCTCTTGATATTTAGCCGGTCATCAGCTCCCTTGTCATTTCCACCCGTTAGATCTAGTCTGGCAATCCGGAGCAAGAGAGAACAGATCTGCTTCATCTTCTACATGACAGCCCTTCAAATACTTGAAGACTGCAGTCGTGTCCCCTCTAAGCCTTCTCTTTCCCAGGCTAAACACACCCAACTCTTTCAGCCTCATAAGACTTGGATTCCAACCCTCTCACCATCCTGGTTGCCCTCTTCTGGACACGCTCTCTTATGTCCTTAAGAGCAGCAGAGGTCCATCAGTGGCTATGAGCCACAAGGTATAGGTAGGAACTCTCGGTCTGGGGCAAGGGATGCTCTGTCTTCTTGGTGCTTGGGGGGGGGGCAGTGGGAGGGGGCTTCTGGAGTTCTGGCCCCACTGCTGGACCTCCTGGGGGGACCTGGTATTTTTGCCACTGTGTGACACAGAGTGTTGGGCTGGAGGGGCCACTGGCTTGATCCAATATTGGCTTCTCTCTTATGCTCTTAAGGTGTCAGACTGCCCAAAAAAAGGGGGTGGGGATTTCCTGCCGCCACACAACACAGACAGGCAAACCCCGGGCAGTCTGCAGTCCAGGATCTGGACGCCCAGGTTGGTGGTTCAAGAGAAGCAGTCGTGCCGTCTGTCCGAGGGGAGCAGCTGCTCCCGTGGAGACTCACAAGCAGCCCCCCCCCCCAAACAGGCCAGCCTGGAAAGACGGACCAGTCGGAGCACCGGGGGGGGGGGGGGGGGCCCGCCAGACCGGGGGGCCCCGGGGGGGGGGGGGGGCGGACCGACAGACGCGCGGGACTCCCCCCACCCCATCCCTGGAATGGCCGTACTGGGAGGAAGGAGAATTCTCACAGTGGTGACGATGCTCGCTTAGGGGTGGGGTGGGGGGAGAAGCCTGGTGAGAGCAAAGCTTGCTTGGAACCAACCTGTAACTAAGACGTAACCTGAGTTTTTGGATGTATTTAGGTACGAGGCGTTCCAAGCTCCCATGTGGGGGAGGGGAGGGAGAGACACCCGTGGAATGAGATGTGGGGCCTTCGCCCAGAAACCTTGGCCACCCACCCGGCAGAAATCCTTCTGAAGGCACACACCCGGGTGTGTGTGTGTGTGTGTGTGTCTTTGAAGACATGCCCGGCCCCGGAAACTCCATCCGGGCCCAGGATCTCAACCATCGCAAGGTTTCAGAAACAGAGGCAGGCAGGCAGGCGAAGTGTTTTTTTTTTCTTTCTAAAAAGGCATTCAGTCGCTTTTATTTCAATGTGGCAAAACCAGCACTCCCAACCCCCTAGAAATTTCTAGCTCAAGCACATGGCGGAAAACGGCCAGGCGAGGAGAGACGCGGGTCAGCTGGGTGGGGGGGACCCCATTTCTTGTCAAAACGCGGGGAGGGTCTCCTTGGCCCCCCCCCCCGCCACCAACGGCGGAGACGGCAAGCCGAGGAGGGGGACAGGAATCCGGTTCTTCTGAGCACCGAGGATACCCTGCAGGCTGGGATCAGGCCGGAAGAACAGGCTCAGTTGATTTTTTTGCTGTTGATTACTGAACACTTGAAAACCAGGCACTGAAATATATGAAGTAATGCCACTGGAAAGCATTGGGCTTGAGAACATTTGAGAAGTAAGGGGAGTTCCGTCTGTGGAATAAGAACTGCGCTGGCCCATTCGCGAATGCAAGTTGTCACTGGGTGGTGCGGTAATTCAGTGAGGCGCAAGCGTGTGTGAACCAGCCATAAGACAAGGAGGAGAACTTTTATTCCTGTGGGACTCAGACGCTTCCCATATACATATTTGGTTGTATACTACCATCGTATACCGCTAGACTGCAGCTGACAACCTCCAGGAGAAATTGGGGGAGGCAAGGCCTAGTAAAAACTGGAAGTGACAACAGTAGACACTCTGGAAGTTATAAAACCTCTATGGCTTTACCACAGAGGTTTTGTATATTCTAGCGCCTCCACGATGTCACTTCTGGTTTTTACAGGAAATGATGTCAGCACATTGGTGCGTGCTCCATTTTCACCTCAAGCGTGGCAGGCAAAGCAGCAGGATGCTAAGAGGTGTCCCACTATAGCAGAAGGCCTCGCATCCCTCCCGAGAGGCCTTCCCCAGATGGAACAGGCTCTTTGTCTGCACTAGTAGAAGGCTCCACACTTAGCTAAGCAGCAGCCAAGTGTGTGGCCAGTTTGGCCCTGGAAAAGGGCCATATTGCTGCCCTTTTAGCCCCGCCCCATCACGTGACGGAAAGCTGGGGTCAGTCAAATGACGCCATGGCTGCCTGCCTCTCTTAGCCATCCTGTCAGTGATTGCTTTTTGGTGTTAAAGCCAGGGGTGATCACCAGCAGGGCCAGTTGGACAAGCTGGAAGCAACAGGACCAAGCGCTTGACGTACTCACCAGCCACCAAGCAGCCCCTCACCACTATCCACCCTACAGAAGAAAACACCGGGTTGCTGATATCTTAAACATCAGCTACAAAATGCAGTAAAGCCCATCATTTTCTTTTTTAAAAATTTTTTCCAACACTTTATTAAATACAAAAAGACAGCTTTAGAATCAGTAGACTATAATAGAATAAATTGAACTTAGTTACCTGATCCCCCCCCCCCCCCCCCACACACACCATCCCCATGATCCACACGGCCACACACACACACCCCCCTATGCTCTCGCGTGTCCTGTTCACACACCCTCTGCTGCGGAGAACTCACCAGCTGGTGAGGGAAAGCAGTGACCTGTCTGATCTTTGACTGCCAATGAATGAAGTTGAAGGAAAAGGTAGGATTCTTGTCTTTTAATTACTAGTAAGGTTCTGCTATCAACTCTCAGCTCACACCTGTATACGATTGCATTGGAGTCAAACTGCAAATCAATCATTTACCTCGACAGCCATCGGTTTTCTAAGGCAGTGGAGGCGGTACACCTTTGCCTATAAAAAGCGCCACGTCGAAGAGCTACTGTCCAAGGAGGGAGGGGAGATTTCTGTCTGTCTGTCTGTCTGTCTTCCTAAACCCTCTGAAGCACTCCAAGGCAGTTATTTGACTAGCTTTAAAGCTCATAATTGAACGACGTTAGGAGTTGGCGTTCCTTGCAGGCAGTCTCTCAGTGGTTTCAGGGTTAACTTGTTCTTGTCTCTAGTTTGTACTATCTTGTCTAATTAAAAGAGCTGTGTCTCTTTTTGATTATGATCGTCACCCTGCTGAAGTTTTCTGCTGGGCTTGCTGGCGGAAGACTAAACGCGGCCCTCACTTCTTCTAAGTATTGCCCCGGGGCAGGTGAAGTGGGCCCTTTCCGGGGTCTTATTTGTACAGCTATTTCTGAAGTCTCTGGTGAGGACAACGCTCACGGATCAAGCGGATCAGACCTCTGAAACGGGGTACACGGGATAAAGTCCACCGTGACAAAGCCCCCCCCCTTCACGCAGGGGTGCCCCCCAGAGCGGAGGTGGCGAGGGAGCCGGGCACGGCAGCTGGGCCTCAGGCCAGGACTCCCAGAATGCAACTGGGGGGAAAGCGTCTGTGTGTGTGTGTGTGTGGGGGAGACGACGACACAGGACGGGGCAGAGACGTGGGCACATTCCCTGCTGTCACGCAGAGCGAGATCCAGCCTCCCCCCCCCCAGCCCGCTCTACCTCTCCTTGTGATCGCTGAGCTCCTCCTCCTCCTCCTCCTCGTTCTCCTCCCCCCCTTTCTTTGCTGGGTCGCTGTTCTGATCCCGGCCCCCCCCTTCAGGGAGGCCACTCCTCTGCTTCTCTGCCGCCTCTTTGGGGGCGCCTTCGCTGTCCGTCTTCTCCTCCTCCGCTGCCTCCTCCTCCTCCTCCTCCGTTGCCTTGCTGCGTTTCGGGGAGGAGCCCTGTTGGGGAAGAGGTGCCAGGTCAGAGCGCTGCAAACGCCCCTCAGGCTGGGGAACCACGGGCCACGGACGGGGGACGCGTGACGGCAAAGGCGGCACTCAAATGCACCCTCCCTTCAATCAGCCCCCCCCCCCCCCCCCCCCGAGGGGGACTTTGGGTGGAGCGGGAAAGACGCTGAGCATCAGCTCGACATCTGCTGGATATTCCACACCTGAGCCTGGAGGTTTCAGAGCCCGGGAAACATCGGAAGCACTCCGAAGTCCCGAGTTCAGATGTTGGGCCTTGCAGGTGCCCAGCGGCTCAGCTGCCTGGAACAGGGCCCACCCCCACCCATCAGTATCAGAAAAGCCCCGCTGGGTCTCAGCAGAGGCCCCTCCAGCCTCCCGTCTCTCACACAGCGGCCAGCCAGTCCCTGTGGAGGTCCAACAACAGGCCAGAGAGGCCGAGGCCTTCCCCCCCCAATGCTGCCTCCTGGCTCTGGGATTCAGGGACTGCCGCTCGCTCATCAGTGTGGAGGTCCCCTTTGGTCACCGTGGCTGGTAACCACGGACAGATCTCTCCTCCGTGAATCTAACAATTCCCCTTTAAAGCCGTCTATACCTGTGGCCATCACTACATCCTCCGGCAGCGAATCCCACCATGTAATCGCTCATTTCTTTCATCTGCCCGTCAACTTACCTAAGGGACCGCCTCTCCCCACATGTTCCCCCAAGGGCACTACGGTCGGGGATTCAAAATCTCCTGGATATTCCAGGCCCCAGGAACATCAAGTTTGCAGTTACCAGGGCCAGGGCGTTTTTGGTGGCAGCTCCTACCTGGTGGAATGAGCTCCCAGAAGAGATCCGGGCCCTGCGGGACCTCGTGCAGTTCCGCAGGGCCTGTAAAACGGAGCTCTTCCGCCAGGCTTTCGAGTAGGAGCCGCCGCCGCCATTATTCCATCTGCACCCCCCCTTTCTTCTTAATTCTGCAAATTGACCATCTCTGGAGCGGACAATACTGGGGGCGTGAGACGTTCCTGGCAGATGACAGCGCTGTAGGGACGTATATTGTTGTTACTGTATATTATTGTCATTACTGTTGTTGCTTAGCATAAGTTATCTTGGAACCCTATCTTGAATCTATAGTTAAATATCCTTGGAGCACCGTGGAAGGAATTTTTAGTGAATTGTATTTATTGTATTTTATACTGTTTTGTGTTGTTTTATTGCTTTAACTTTGGCATTTATGCCCCTTGTGAGCCGCCCTGAGCCTTCGGGGAGGGTGGGATATAAATTTAATAAATAAATAAACTTCATTGGGCTTTGGGAGAGGAAGGGAAAGGCCCCATCTGTCCACTTCCCTCCACGCTTTTATAAACCTCCATCATTCCCCCCCACCCCCAAATTGCCTCTTTTCTAAAAGGAAAAGTCCCAGGTGCTTCTCCAGCCTTTCCTCCTAGGGAAGTCGCTCCAACCCGCTGGCCATCTCGGTCGCCCCCCCTCTGCGCTTTCTCCCACTCTGCACTGTCCCCTTTCGGAGGTCTGCGTGACCAGACGGAGCGGAATCACAGCTCTGCTGTTTAAGGGCGTTACAACGCTGGCGGTTTTATTTGCAAACATGGAGCCTGTCTTTTCCACGGCCGTGATGCACGGAGTCCACATTTTCATTGCGCTTTCCACGACGGCCCCAAGATCTCTTTCAATCTCGGTCTCTGCAAGTTCAGCACCCGTCCGTGTACATTTAAAATTAGGAATTTTTAAAGTCAAGGCCCCACTGCGAGAACTACCCTTTCATTCTTGCTTCCTGCCATTTAAAACCTGAGAGGTAGAGGAGAGGTAGAGTGGGCGGGCCGGGGGCTGGTGAGGCGGGACTTCCGTTTGCAGAAGCCATGTGGATTTCCCCTCAGCAGGCTTTGCTTCTCTATGTGCCCCATGATTCTGTCTTTGATTACAGTTTCTACTGATGTGCTTGGGACAGATGCTAGGCCGACTGGCCTGTCATTTCCTGGCTCCCTTTTCAAAGACTGGGGTAACATTTGCTACTTTCCAGTCATCTGGGAGGCCAGTTTTTGGGAGAAGTTACATATGCTTGTTTGTAGGTCAACAACTTCACGTTTCAGTTTTCTAGGGACCCGTGGGGCATGTGCCATTTGGACCCGCAAGACCAATTAAGTTTCCAGTTTGCCTAGCCGTCGTTCCCCCGTCACTTCAATTTCACTCATCAGTCATCCCTCACCCAAAGAGCAGCTCCGGTGTGGACACGTGACCCGCCCAGCGCTCCCTCTAAGCTGTGGCATCTTGAGAGCAAAAAGTATTTGTGAGCTACTGGCATTAAAGTTGTGAGCGAGGGATTTGGCTGCTGCATAAGTTAATTTGGTCTGGAGCCATCTTCTTTGAGCAAAGACAAAAAATGTGTGAGCCAGAAGTTAAACAACTGTGAACTAACTCACACCAACTCAGCTGAGAGGGAACACTGGAGGAAAACCCCCCCCCCCAATATTTTTCCCCCTGCCCCTCCCCGTCTTCCTTCAGTTTCCTGCTCCGGAGGTTTCTGGGAAGCACTTCTTGAGGTTCTCCACAACCCACTGCTCCCTTTCTCCTTTTGCTGGTCTCACGGTTTGGCCGGACCCTGCAGTTCCTTCCACTCACTTTGCTGGGTCCAATAAGCCTTCCTCTGCCTTGGCCCGTTAACCAGGCAGCCCTCCCTTCAAGTACCCCCCCCCCACACCCCCTTACGGACTTGTGTGGAGTTTGACCCGCCGCGTCTGGTGAGAAAGGACATGAAAGTGCCAAGTGGTGTACACCCCAACCCCCCACCCCGCGCGTTACCTCCTCCCGGGTGGCCTCCTCCTCCTCCGTGGCTTTCCTCTTGCGGCTGCCGGCCTTCTCGTTCTTTTCCTTAGACTGCTCGTCGATCACCAGGGCGCCCTCCTCCTCATCACTGCTCCCTTCGGGGCTGCCCTTCTTCTCTACGAGGCCCCCCGGCTCCCTCTCCCGGGGGGCTTCCGCTTCCTCCGCCAGGGACCTTTTCTTTGGGGTGGGCTGCAGAGGGAGAGTGGGACACGGGTTGGCGGGGGTGGGGGCATCCTTTGGCAACCTCATAGGACTTGGTCTCCAGACCCCTCACCGCTCCACTCCACTTGTCACTCCTCTCCAAGAGGATGAGGAACCATTCACACGCACTCTTTGGGTGCGATCTGTCAACCAGTTACAGATCCACCTAGTACTCATAGGATCCAAATCACATTTTAGCAATTTGTCAACAAGAATATTATGTGGAATCTTATCAAAACTCTTACTGAAATTAAGATAAACTATGTCAACAGTATTCCCCTGAACTCGCAAGGTAGTAACTTTCTTTAAAAACGAGGAAAATTCAGTCTGACATGACTTAAGGACATAAGAGATGCCAATGTTGGATCAGGCCAAAGGCCCATCCAGTCCAACACTCTGTATCACACAGTGGCCAGAAATACCAGTGCCATCAGATGGTCCACCAGTGGGGCCAGGACATTAGAAGCCCTCCCACTGTTGACCCCCCCCTCCAAGCACCAAGATGACAGAGCATCACTTGCCCCAGAGTCCCTACCTATCACACAGTATTCCAGATGAGGTCGCACCATTGATTTATATAGCGGCATTATGATATTGGCTGATCTGTTTACAATACCCTTCCTAATAATCCCCAGCATAGCATTGGCCTTCTTTATTGCAGTCACACACTGTCTCGACATTTTCAGTGAGTTATCTACTACAACTCCAAGATCTCTCTCTTGATCTGTCTCTGCCAGTTCAGACCCCATCAACGTGTATTTATAGTTAGGATTTTTGGCTCCAATGTGCATCACCTTGCACTTGGCCACATTGAACCCCATTTGCCATGTTGACGCCCACTCGCCCAACTTTGACAGATCCCTTTGGAGTGCCTCACAATCCTCACTGGTTTTCACCACCCTGAACAACTTCGTATCATCCGCAAATTTAGCCACTTCACTGCTTACTCCCAACTCCAAATCATTAATGAACAAGTTAAAAAGCAGTGGACCAAGTACTGATCCCTGTGGTACCCCACTGCTTACACCCCTCCACTGGGAGAACTGCCCATTTATACTCACTCTCTGTTTTCTATTAATTAGCCAGTTTTTGATCCATAAAAGGACTTGTCCTTTTATCCCATGATTTTTGAGCTTGCTTAGGAGCCTTTGATGAGGAACTTTATCAAAAGCTTTCTGGAAGTCAAGGTAAACAATATCTATTGGATCCCCCTTGTCCACATGTTTGTTCACCCCCTCAAAGAACATTAACAGGTTAGTGAGACAAGATCTTCCCTTACAGAACCCATGTTGAGTCTGCCTCAATAGGTTTTGTTCATCTATGTGCCTACTAATTCTTTCCTTAATAATGGTTTCCACCAATTTACCCGGTATCGACGTCAGACTGACAGGCCTGTAATTTCCCGGATCTCCTCTGGAACCCTTTTTAAAGATGGGAGTGACATTAGCTACCTTCCAGTCCTCAGGAATGGAGGCTGATTTTAAGGAGAGATTACATATTTTTGTCAGGAGATCCACAAGTTCACAATTGAGTTCTTTCAGAACTCTTGGATGTATGCCATCTGGGCCTGGTGATTTATCAGTTTTTAAGTTGTTTATCAGTTTTAGGACCTCCTCTCTCGTCACCTCAATCTGACTCAGGTCTTTCAACACCCCTCCCGAACTCAGCGGCTCTGGAGTGGGCAAGCACCTCTCATCTTCCACAGTGAAGACGGAGGCAAAAAATGCATTTAGCTTCTCAGCCATTTCCCTATCATCCTTCAGTACTCCTTTTACCCCTTGGTCATCCAAGGGCCCCACTGCCTCCCTGGCTGGTTTCCTGTTTCTAATGTATTTGAAGAAAGTTTTATTGTTGGTCTTTACATTTTTTGCTATATGCTCCTCATATTCCCTTTTTGCCTGCCTGACCACAGACTTGCATTTTATTTGCCATAGCCTGTGTTCTGTTTTATCAGCCTCACTGTGACTAGCTTTCCACCGCTTAAAGGAATCCTTTTTACCTTTTACAGCTTCCATTACTTTGTTTGTTAACCATGTAGGCTTTTTCTTATACCTGTTTGTGCCTTTCCTAACCTGCGGAATATATTTTATTTGAGCTTCTAGAATTGTAGTTTTAAACAGTTTCCAAGCTTCCCCAATGGTTTTGACCCTTTCTACTTTTCCCTTCAGTTTCCTCCCCACATGTCCCCTCATATCAGAAAAATTACCCCTTTTAAAGTTAAAAGTGGTTGTGTGAGTCTTTTTGGCCAATTCCCTATTTGTACAAATGTTGAACTCAACAACATTATGATCACTGTTCCCAAGCGGTGCAATCACTTTTACATCTCTCACCAGGTCTTGGGTGTTACTTAGGACCAAATCAAGGATCGCCTCTCCCCTGGTAGGTTCCGTGACCATCTGCTCCATAGCACAGTCATTTAGTGTGTCTAGAAACTCAATCTCTTTTTCTCGACTAGAACACATATTCACCCAATCAATGTGTGGGTAGTTAAAATCACCTATTACGACACAGTGACTTGTTCTTGAGAAACCCATGCTGGCTCTTAGTAATCACAGCCGTCCTTTCTAAATGCTCAAGGACTGACTGATGATTTGTTCTAAACCTTTCCCAGGCATAGACGTCACACTGATGGGTTAGTAGTTACCTGGATCCTCCTTTTCCTCCTTCTTGAAGAGGGGGACAACATTTGCCCGCCTCCAGTCTGCTGGCACCTCATCTGTTCTACAGGAATTCTCAAAACGAGTGGACAGAAGCTCAGAAATTACATCTGCGAGTCCTTTGAGTACACACGAACACACACACACACTCTCTCTCTCTCTCTGGCCGGTCTGGCCTCCCAGGGGCAAAGCACAAGAGCCCTGCTGGCCCCCTTCGTGGAAAAGGTGGTTCCGGAGGGGGGTGGCCGTTGTGTTGGCTGGGAGCAGCAGCAGGACTGGATTCAGCTCCAGGAGCGCCTCAGAGACTGACAAGACATTTCCGGGGGGGGGGGCAGTTTCCCAGAGTCCGAACTCCCTTCTTCCCTTCAGTGACTGGCAAAGGGAGCTCCTGAGTCCCGAGGGCTTCTGCCCCGAAAACGTTGACAGCTGCTTACGTGCTCCTGGGATCGAATCTGGCCCTTTGCCGGAGGGAGGGGCCGGTCCGGGCTGCAGCGGGACACTCACTCTGCCCGGGGGCAGGAAGCTCACCTGGTACCCCGAGGCCTTGACCGTCGGGTTGTTCTCGATCTCCCACAGGCCTTCGCTGAAGCCCTTCCGCTTGTTGGCCTTGCCAAACTTCACCTTGCACTTTGGGAAAGAGGTCTTTGGGGCCCAAAAACGCCCTGCGGGAGGCAAAGAGCCACACGTGAGAGACCCCAGGCGCCCTGGCCAAACGGAGTCAAGGCCCCCCCCCCCACGGTTGGGACGGCTGCGCAGCGAACCCTCCAGAGGAAAGGCAATGGAGTATTGGGGGGGGGGAGCAGAGGGAATTAGTTCCTACAAAAGCACAGCAGCAGGTCTTGCGCTTTGGCTACGCAGCTGGCTGGAGCCCGCGTGCCAAGAACGTCAAAGGCAGCTACACGTAAACAGAGTTAATCTGAAGACTGCCAGAGCCATTTCCCACTTGGAACAAGCGGATGAGCGGCGGTGGGGCAGGCACACGGCCTCTGCCCCCGGCTGAGAGACGAGCCGCTTGTCTCTGAGCACCTTTGCCCCTTCCTGCAAACGGGTGATCACCCAGCCAGTGCTCCGGAGGGACACCCGTGGGGTGCTGCTTCTTGCCGAAAGGGGAACCCAAGTCGCCCACGCTGGGTCGCCGGCACAAGCCTCCCTGCCCAAAGGACGCCCGCCGTGCCTCGACCAGGGCCTCCTCTGCCCTGGCCCCTGCCAGGTGCAACATGCGCCATCTGGAGATCAGTGCCCGGCGGGATCTTCTTCAGTTCTGCAGGGCCCGCCAGAGGGAGGGAGCTGTTCCACCAGGCGCTTGGCCGAGGCAGCGGGCGTCCACACAAGGGCCCCCTCCCCGAGGCTGCGGCCACCCACCCACTGACAGTTGGCCACTATCCACCTGTTACCGAGGGGCCAGGGAAACCCCTAGCGGCCAGCTGAGTTCTGACTCTGAGATGCAACCACCAATGTTCATGTTTATTATTGTGTTTTAAATTTCGTGTATTTATTGTATTGCTTTTGATATGATGTCACCTGCCCTGAGCCCGCTTGCGGGATGGGTGGGCTATAAATATGAAAGGTAAATAAATAAATGATATTTTGCACTCTAGAAAAGCCAGACTTCAATTGTCCGAAGCTCACGTGCAACCAGGCAAAGGGGAGAACTGCAGGCCGGGCGGGAGCAGCTGCTTCTCCGTGCAGGTAGGCCTGGGCCTTCTCGGCATGGGCCACCCATGCTCTCCCCACCGGGCACAGGAGCTCAGAGAGAGAGCGTGCGGGGTGGGGGACAGGGATCTTCTGCCATTCCATCCAGCAGGGAGGCCAGAGCACCAAGCAGCACGGATTTCCCCCCCTCCCCTCCCCCCATTTCACCCTCACAAACCACCAGGCCGGGCCCACTAGCCCCCCCCCATAGCCCCCCTGTTGCTGGACACAGAGTGCAACAGGCCCCCGCCCCCCCCGGGCCCGTACTCACGTCTCGTGAGTCCCAAAGAAAAAGACTTGGTATTTGTTGGAGGTGGACTTCACGGCCGATTCCGGCATCTCGTCAATCTGCAGGAGAGAAAAAGGACAGCAGCAGGTTCCCGTGTGACCGGCCCTTTCGTGGGACACCCCCGGCTGCAGGTGGGGCTGCGGCGGAAGGAAAGACTGCATGACTTGGGGGCTGCTTGGAGCCAGACCCTGCGTCTCTTTCTCCTCCCTGCACGCACAGGGGCATCACACGCCATTCCCTGGGCCAAGCAGAGAGTGACACGTGTGCCGTGAGGGAGGAGGCTCTGCCGGGGGCGGGGGGTTCCTGCACACGCAGAAGGTGCCTCAAGCACGATCCTGACCTGCAGCCCCTCCCCCAACAAGGCCCAGAGAGAACGAAGCTAGGGACCCCCTCCCCCCCGCACCAACCAGACTCCCAGCTAGCTATGGGGAGGGGGAGGCACGCTTGTGGCCCTCCAAAGTGGCACAGTATTGCCCCCCCCACTCTCCAGTCAAGAAGCCTAGGCAGCATGCTAAGCCGCCCCCCCGCCCGCCTGTAGGAACTGCGGCTGGGGCGTGGCAACCGTAAGTTTGTCTAGACTGCCGAGATATGTTTAGCTCAGCAAGTTTCAGGGAAATAGCAGGTCACCGGCGGCGGCAGTGGCAGCAGCCCAGCCGCCTGAGTGGATGAAGCCCCAACTAATCCTGGCTGGATCTGCTCTTCCGGCCCTCGCCAATCAGGGCCTGTGGCGTCCTCGCTTATGGGGGAGACGGTTTTACCTTTAAAACACTCTCTGTGTACCTAAGCTTGGTAGTTTTCTGCTGCCACCAGAAATTAAAAATTCCAATTCTCTCTCTTTTGGTAGAATGACCCAGGGGCTGGGCACTTCAGAGGAGTATTCTGATTTCTGGGATAAGTTTAAACGAAAAATGATTTATTTAATAAAGAACAAAATAGGTTTCTGGTTATTCTGAACTGTTGCTGATGAAAAGAACTTGTAAATATAACTGGCAAAGCTTGGTGCTACAAACGGTCTCTCAAACTCCTCAAAATCCACTCTGACAGGCGTAGACACACACTCTCTCTCTCTCATATCTATATAGCCACACAGGCTGCACTCTTTGTCTTATTCACACAGAATACACCCAAAAACTCCCATAGTCTCACAGACTATGCTCTCTCCCCAAACTTCAAACACCAAATCCCTCTCATCGACGCCCCTCCTCCCATGCTCTCAGCCAATCACATCACACTTGTTTTCCTCTATTACTCTTCCTACAGTACTGCAGCCAAGATAAACATTTAAAGAAACACACACACCAAAACATGAAGTCCTTACAGGGCCCTAACCTTCTGCCCCCTCCAGTACACGCCCATTATGAACGAACCACTGACTCGGAACCCCTTTCTTTGGGTCCTCCGGCCACTTCCTAAAAACCATCCCTAGAGAAGAATGAGGCAGCCAGTTCTTGGCCAGTCTCTAACTTGCCCTCCCCGGATAGCCATCTGCCCCAGACCCCTTCCAGCCTGGTTTCAGGCCAGGCCGTGGGACAGAGACAGTGCGGGTGGGCTTACTATTTGAGGACCTCCACCCTGAACACAGACCAGGACTGTGCCTCTCTACCAGCAGCTGCCTTCAAGATGGTGCCTGGGCCGCCATGCAGAGGAGGATTAAGGGCAATGCTCCCTCTAAGCTTTGGAGTCTTGTGAGCAAAAATTCTACTCTGTGAGCTCCTGGCATTAAAGTTGTGAGCGAGCAATTTGGCCAGTGCATACATTAGTTTGCTCTGGAGCCCTCCTCCCTGAGCGAAGACAGAAATGTGTGAGCCAGAGGCTAAAAAACTGTGAGCTGGCTCACACTAACTCAGCTTAGAGGGAACGCTGATTAAGGGGTGTACTTTGGAATGGCCGAACTGCGTCCTTATGGGCAGGAGGACTCCGGGGGTCACTGGCAGGGCCCTGCCTCAGCCCAACCCCCTCTTCCGTCCTCCTGGCCCGTGACAGCATTTCATTCACTGCAAACCCAGGCTGTCTGGTTGCGCGGCTCTGCCATCCTGTGTGTGACCTGCCTTGGAGCCTCAGGGAGGAAGGGGGGCTGTCCCTGCCGTGGGTGCCGAACACGCCCCTGAGGCTGCCTTACGGGGAATCAGGGGCCCCACCCACCCTTGGGGGCCATCGAGGCCAGGACTGCCCACTCAGACGGGCAGCGGCCCCCCAGGGTCCCTGGCAGGGAGGGTTTTCACATCGCCTCCTCCTGGGTCCTTTTGGAGAGGTCTGCTCAAAGGGTGGGGGGAGGGGGAGGGAAACGCCCGGGGGCAAAGGGCCACATGGCTCATCGGAAGGCGTGGCCCATGCCTGCCTCCTGTGGAACCTGTCCTCCTAACGGTGGAACTGGCCTCTGGCCCTCCACATCAGGGGCCACGAACAGAGCCACAGAATCCGACCCAGGGCTTCGCAAGGGAGGCTCTGGCTGACTCGCAAGAGGTGCTGCTGGAAGCCGGATTTTGGGAGGGGGGGGATTCACCGAGTGGCACCTTCAACAGAGACGGGGCAGGATCCTTCCCAAGAGGCAGGAGGCATCCCAAGCAAGAGACATCCCCCCCCCGTGTGTGGTGCTATCCCCTCCCTTGGGCTTGGGCTGGGCTTCCGGGAGGTGCCCCGCCGAGTTTTGCAAGGTCATTCTTGAGGGCCACATAGGGAAAACAAGGCCCGCTGGCTGGCGGCATTTCCCCTCGGAGGAGGCCCTCCCGCCAAGGGCTGCTGCTCCTGCTTCCGCCTGACTCACGGCAGAGGCCAGGCCCACTGGCGCTGAGTCACCGCCGAGCAGGCTCGGATTTCCTCCACCCAGAGGCAGGCCAGGCAGGCAGGCAGGCCGGCCGGCGGCCTCACACAAAGCATTAAAAGCCAAGGCTCTGATCTCGCAACAGGCTGGCTGAGCAGGGACAGGCAGGAAAGCTGGGCACCCGCGGCCTTTGTCCTGCGGCTGCCTCAGATCTGGGGGGGGGGCTGGCCTTGGAGGGAGCCCACGTGCCCCTCACCCGCTGTTAATCAGTCACGGGGCACCAGGCGGCCCCGCAGCCAAAGAATCTCCCTTCCTCCCTCTGGCGTTTTCCAGCCTCTGGTGGCTCTCTTGGAAGGAGCTGGCCAGGCCTCACCAAAGCTGGCGCTGACGTCAGCGTCCGTCTTCCAAGGTGTCCCTGGACTCCTGCCTTGTTTTCCAGAACCACCTGAGGCATGCAGGGAGGAGGGTGGCAGAAACACCGCTGTGCCAGTCACAACCTCCACCGTCCCCCTGAGGCCTCCCCCTCTCGGGAGGGGGGGGTGCCCCACGAGGCCCTGGGAGCCTGAAATGCAGCAGTGAAAACGGGCAGCGGCCCTCCCCCAGCCTGGCACCCGCCCATGTCGCCACATTAAGACACGCATGCCAGGGCTGTCGCAACAGGGCTGGCCAGCGGGGCTGGTGTCTGAACGAGGGCCGCCCCCCCCAGTGGAAGCACATTTCCCCCCCCCCCCGGTGCCCAGTTCCCTTGCCAGGAGTCCCTCCATCTGCCTCACCCGCAGGGGGCACCTGGGCGCACCCCCCCCGCCCCCACTCACCCCCCGAGTGCCCGTGGAGGGAGGGGCACCTGAAGCAGCTGCCCCGGCCTCCCCAGGGGGGGTGGCGCTGGTGGTGAGGGAGGGAGGGGAAACGCTGGGCTCTGCGAGGAGACGCGTCCGCCCCCCCCGAAAAGTGGGGCGGGAGGTGGGTCAGGGCACTCACTGGGCCAGCAGCTCCATCGGGCCTCTTTCTGCCCACCTTCTCTGGGCATGGGGCTGCTGCTGTTTTCAACCCCCCCTGCAGCCCCCGGGTGTTGCATCTCAGGGAGATCAGGAGAAGCTGGAGCGTCACAACAACTGTGCGCGTGCCCCCAGGGCTCGGCTGCCGGCGCTGCCTATCTGCCCGGCCTGACCTTCCGGCCACACCACACACCCTGCCCCCGTGTGCCGGAATTGGGCTCGCCCGGCTATCTGCACAGGAAGTTGCCCGACATCGTGGTGAGCCAGAGGAACAGCCTGCGGCCCTGGAGGAGACCCCTGGGGGAGAGCTTCGCGCTAGCCCTGGTCCTCTCTTCCGAGGGCTGGCGGAGACACGCCCGACAGTGCAGAGCGCCCCAGGAGACCAGGGACAGGTGGGGCTCCAAGCCTGTGACCCCCCCCCTGCTTCCCCAAGAGCAAGACCCAGGGCAGAGCAACACCACGGGCACACCCACAAGGCCGGTGCAGAGCCCAGAGGCCAGAAAGCATGCTCCCCCCCCCCACACACACACCTGGGTCTCGGGATCGAATGTCAAGGGCCACACTCCTCTCCCATGTGAGCATGGGCCGTCTCGTTGACCTCCAAGGTGCTGCTGCTGCTACTGGACTTGAGCCCTGCTCTCCCCCCAAACCACTGGCGTCGAGCAGAGGCATCTTTCCGGGGTACCCCACACAGGCCTCTTCTGCCAACAGGAGAAGGCTGGCCCTCCTTCACGCTCTCTGCCAGGGTCTGGGTGCACCAAGAAGGGGCCGAGCCGATGCACCAAGACGCAGGGCTGGGGTCTGCCCAAGCCTGCCGGGCCCGGCGGGTACCCTGAGGAGGGGAGGGAGAGGCCCGTGCCAGCCAGCAGCCTCAGTGCGGCGGGAGGGAGGGGTGGAGCTCTGGTGCCCTGAAATCGGAGACCCCTCTGAGGGAGTGGGGGGGGCGCGGGCATCTGGTATCCGGAGACCAAAGCACCGAGCCCATCACCCACCCCCCAGAGGACAAGCTGGCCTCCGTGTAACTGGAACCCGGACCCTTTCATGAGGAAACCACAAAGCTCCTCTGCTTTGCGGGGGGGGGGGCCTCCCCCCCTCCAACACACCTAAAGTTAGACCCACAATTAGAAGCCCCACAAGGGACTCTGGAGAGAGTCACAGCAGGCCCCTCCCAATTCTTTTTGGTGAACCATGGTGGTGGTGGGAGGGGGGGGGAGGAAACCTCCCAGGCTGTTGCACAGAACAGAGACCAGTTGCGTTGCCCCCGCCCCCCCCCACTCGCACCTGGCTGGTCTGAAGAGACAAAGAGACCCCCACTGGGGGGCTGCCGGGGGCCCCCTCCCAAA